GTGGATTATGCTGAACTGGGAAAAAATTACTATTTAACAATTGTTGTAGTTTCCATATCGTCGTACCACCCTATATAGTTATAAAATTATTGATATTATTAAATTCATTCTCTATTAGCTTTTTATATATCATATATTTTGAATCATATTCAAAGTGGATCAATTTGAAATAATCTCCTTCTATTTATTTTTGTTATTTTTTAGTAAAGAATCAAAAATCTTCACATATAAATTCTCATAAATTAAATAGAAATGCTGGATGCAAAATATATAATCTGGCTTTTTTGTTCATGTATAAATAAATGATGATGCTTCAGATTTGTTCTCCATTCTAATAAGATAAATAAAAAATTTTACATTTAATAGAAATAATTTAAAGTTTTATCATGCTTATATCATATATTACTTACCATTTTCTCTTGCAATATGGAGACTTTGATTTTGATTCTTCAGTTATAATTTTCAATATCTGATCCATCACTTCATGACTGACCTCAATTTCTCTTATTGATATTCTTTTGAAATTGATCTGAATTTTTCATATGCTAAAGCTTAGAAAATAATGATTAATTTTAATTAGTATTATTTTATATTTCAAATCACTTACAAATGCTTGGCAAGATCTCGCAAAAAAGGATAAAATGGATGATTGCAGTTTTCATCAGATACATCTCCAAAATCATCATTCATATATCTTTTTCTCTCTGCATAAAATTTTTCAAACAATTCTACAAGCTCACCTGGAATTTTCTGACTATTATAATCTTCCGGAATTGCATTTATTTATTCCCAAAGTCCCTCTTCAACTTGCGATATGTTGTTGATTGTATCTATTACAAATGAAAATAAAGAGTGATCATATTCCAATTTATTTAATTCGTCAAAATTAACTTGTGCTGCTAAATATTTTATTATATATGCATTTATTGATCCCGTATTCCATTCTGATTGTTCCATTGATGATAAATCTTGATATTTTTCATATATTGACCGGATATTTCTTTTACTGTTTAATTGATCGCATTTTTCTTTAATGATTTCTAAAAATTTTATCGGATTTTTCTTGAATTCAGAGGTTAATTCGGTGGATCAGTATTTTTATTCTTATAATTTATATAATAAGTATTAAAGTCGTCCGGTTTCTCCATATTAATAATATTTTCATTTAGCGCCCACGCAAAGAAATCGCAACGATTAACCAAGTTTGGGTTATATTCTTTAAAGAATATTTCCAAGTGCTCGTTCCATATTGTAACATCAGAACTGGAAGCAAAATTTTTGATTTTGGTGCGCATGTTTCTAGTAGGTGATAGTTCTGGTAGTTTTACTTGAAGACATTGTTAAATAAGATTTATCCAAATAGACCCTTCTTTTTATGGTAAGCGCCTGAAATATATCATGAAAAAAATATATCACAATATATCGTCATGAATAATGCAGGATAAAACGTCGTCGTCATTTGATGATCCTTTGACTAGTAGCCATATGACATTGGTGTGCGGTATACCTTATTTTTAATTAATCAAATTTAGATGCACAAGTCGCACTTTTTTCTGCCAAAAACTTATAATGACAATCGACTTGCAATATTAAAAAGTTACGAGATTTTTTTATACTTTTATGAGAAATTAAAGTTTTTCTTAATCTCTTTCTATGTGCAATTATGATTTGGCTCACTCGGACAAATCTTTATATCAATTAGTAATTTATTTCAATTTAACTGCAAATTTGGCTTGTACAGTCCCCGGCGAAAGTAATGGCGGTGAACGTTTTCGCCTATATTTTAACAATGAAGCATCCAAAACTCACAAAAATTTGTAAATATATTCTTTAGAATATTACGAACATGATTCTCTAATAGCACAAGGCATGTTAGCTTAATAAAATTTTGCGAAATTTTGCGTCAAATGTGGTGGATTAGGTGTTTACATGAAATAACTTTGAAAAAAAATTATTTAAAATATTTTTAATAAGTAATTTTGAAAATATTTTTG